TAGCTGTGAACCCTCCTAGCTATAGCAATGTCTGGCCTGGCAAGATGTGCCCACTCGGGCAACAATGGCACAACTGTTATGGGAGTGATTACCACTTTCCGGTTAGATTTAAAGTCTGCTTCACAAGACAGAACTCAAGCCGGACACTGTTAACTTGACCAAAAGACTCATGACTGGTTAGGTCCTAGGCCCTAGGGGAGAACCTAATAGTATTCTGATAAATGGACACAGTATTAAACTGCTCCCCTCCCAAGTTCTTGTTTTTATACCCATAGGTTAATGCCTCTTAACTCTCATCAGATAAAAACCTAGAATGCTTGGGGCTGGAGAGATGACTCAGCAGTTAAGAGCACTGACTGTTCTTCCAGAGGACCCAAGTTCAATTTCCAGCACCCACACAGCAGCTCGCAACTGTCTGTAACTCGAGTTCCAGGGATTCAACACTCAACAAAGACATACATGGAGGCAAAACACCAATGCACATAAAATAAAAATAAATTTCTAAAAGGAAAAAGGACCTAGCTCAGTTCTAAATGGGGTGTCTATATTCTACCCCCTCTCCCAAAGGCACAGAGATTGTCATGGCAGGGGGGGGGGGAATAAAGGACTGTCAAAGCCAGAGGTAATAGACATTTGCCTTGAAACATCTGTTGGGCATAGCTGTACCCACGATATACGTGAACTCACGGTGGCCATGACTGCATGCCGAAGACCTGCATGAAATCAAGCCGGCTAAAACCCCAGCATTGACAGAGGAGGGTTTATGACGTCCCACCCCTAGCTGAGCCACGACAGGTGATTAACCCATGCTCCAGTACATGACTCTACGCTCATGTGTGTGCAGGCAGTGTAGGGGGGGGGGAGCGGTTGTAATGAAGTTGGGGGACATGGAGAGGTACCGAAGGGAAGGGAATAGAGACTGGATTTGATGAAAATATATCATAAATGAAATTCTCAAAAAGAAAAAAAAAAGAATGTTGTAGTTTGGGTCAGGGTGTAGCTAAGTTATAAAATACTTGCCTAACATATATATTGCCCCCCATTAAAAAGGCAGAAAATGTTGGCATCTGCCTGTGTCAGCTCTTTGATTCTTGAAGTAGTTAATGTGGTTTGCAATATGAGGGAATTTATTTGTTAGACTAGTCTGGTATGTGTGGGAATAGATAAAATAGTAACAGAAATCATGCCTTAAACGGTATTGCCCACTTTACAAAATAAACCTACACAATAATATACTATATACTATAATCCCATATAAACCTACACAATAATATACTATATACTATAATCCCATATAAACCTACACAATAATATACTATAATCCCAGTTCAAAAACAATTCGTTTGGAGCTAGAGAGATGGATCATCAGTTAAGAGTACTTGCTGCCCTGGCGGAAGATGGGAGTTTGATTCCCAGCACCCACATTGGGTAGCTCACAACCATCTGCAGCTCCAGCTACAGGGATCAACAGCCTCTCCTGCCCTCTTTGAGCATGTACACACATGGATGCATAAATACACACACGTGTAAACTGAAAAGGATTTTTGTAAGAATTTTTTCTTTGTAAGAATTTTTTAAAGATTCTTTTTTGTTCATATTTAGAGATTTTCTTTCACATTAGTCCATGTTGATAAGGCAGGAACTTTCTAGAATTATGACCTAGTAAGAGGCAAGATGGTGCTTCTTGATTTGTCCTCCCTTGTTGCCCCCCCCCCCCAGCAGAAGATGGAGGGACAGCCACAGCATCAGAGGGTGACATGGACGCGAATCTGCTAACCTCGCAAGAGAAGAAAGTGCATAGGAAATGACCTCAGAGGTCTCAGCCGCGACCTTGGTGTGGAGGTAAGAGCAGTCTCTGCAACCGCAGAGTTCAAGCCTGCTCCGCTTGCAGAGCTCGCCCCTGAGCCCGGCCAAAGAGCAGAGCCTAGGAAGTGTGGGGGCACGAGTTTCCAGAATCCGGCTTCAGTATCCTCGCCTTTGGAATCTGCTCCTGTGACCACTGCAAAAACTACTGAGGATAGAGGAGGAATGACCCTGGAAAGAAGGGAATGTACCGAGTCCCGCGTCCCCAGAGGGTCCCCAGCGGAAGCCTGGGTGAGGAATGCAAACATCTTCAGGAATGGGGAGGTTCAAAAAGGGTGCCGCCCCCCTGACCCTGAGACAGCCCAAACTCCACTAGATCCCAGGATTTGGGGGAGGAGGAAGACAGAGTCAAGAAGCAAATTTTAAAGGAAAAGCGTTTTGGAAGGAAGACAAAAGGAGGCAGAACCAATGGGCTACTTTAAACCTTCATGACCTCTCTTTTCTCGCTGTTAGGAGAAAATGCAGCAGGCAAGAAAGGAAGACACATCAGGTCACCTTCCGGGAAGGTCATGGAGCAGGCAGGCAGCCACACCTGGGATATAAATAGCCCAGAGAAACTGAGCTCCACAGTGCTCAGGACCTGAAGGCCCCCAACTCCGGAGACACCAAGAAACAGGCCGCCTGTGGGGGCTTCCCCCTCTGCAGCTTCTTAGGGACTGCAAATGAGAAGGAAGCATCATTCTGTTTCCTCTCTAGCCCTTCTGCAAAGTGTACACCAGGGCCTAGGTGTGTCTGTTTAAACCTCGTCTTTAGATTTAGGGAAGGAAGAAGGGCTGGGTGTGGCAAGGCAGATAAGCAGGTGACAATGATCAATATGTGTCTTCTTAAACTTTTGCAAAAAAAAAAAAAAAAAAAATAGGGCTGACTTCAGTTACCCATCCACAAGTCAAAGGAAGTTTTAGAAGGGTTTAGAGTCAGGAGAACCTGGGTCCAAACATGGACAAACCGCTAAACTCTTCTAGACCGGTTTCCTCATTTGAAATAGAGACAATCGTCCTGAGAATTAAATAGTGCATTGCAAATTCTTAACCAGTCAATACCAGGCAAGTGCTGTGGTTTAATCCTGTGTGTTAAGTGGGAACGCCTGTTTCGAACTCGAGCGGTTCTGGGAGGCAACATTGGATCAAAGGTCTTCCAAATACAATCCCCCCAAGGGACAGCGTCCTTCTTCCTTAGTTGCCCCATCTTCCCAGTCCGTCCAATTCTCTCTGGGTAATGGTATTGTGCTGGGCGGGGCTGGGGTTTCTTCCCCCCACCCCCCCACAGGCTGTCACCCTGTAATGTTTGTTCTGCTTCCTTCCTTTCCAAAGTCTAGCAGATTAGACTGCTGAGTGCCGTCCAGCTTACCAAGACAGACAAGAAAGTGAAAGTAGGGTGGGGAGCGCTCACCAGGAGCAGCACAGCAGCCAGCCCCAAGTCCTAGCAATCAAGCCCTTAGAGAGGGCAGAATAAAGAAAGCCTTGTTGCTTTCTGAGACCCCAAAGCTGTGGTCTATGTCAAGTGAAATCTGAGCCGTTCGAGCCTACAGCAGGGGCATTGCCCAGCTGTGCACCTGCGTGATAACACGACAGGAAATCAAAGAGGTGTCGCTCCTGCTGTTTTGCCTACCTAGTGTCCCTGCACTTTCAGCACACACCAGGGAGGAAGGCAGTGGTGCTCTCCCGGGGCTTGACTGAGCAGCTAACACTGGTCTTCCTCGCCCACCCTCTCTGGGGCTGGGAGGGGGGGGGGCACGAGGCAAGCTCTCTGTCATTGAGGTCCATCCTGCCGCCCCTTTCCCACAATTGCAGGTTCACTTCTTCAGTAGCCCCGTGTGTGTTCCGGATTGATTCTGTCCCCCCCCCCCGGAAAATACCAAGCTGAAGAGAACGCATTCAGCTCACCATGGTGATGTGAAGAAGATTGCAGGCCCTACTTCCTTACGCAGAAGAGAGAAAGCAGCAAGCGCCAATGTAAGGGAAGAGAAGGGTTTGCAGTCACCCTTCACCAAACAGCAGGCCCGTTTGGGCAAACTTGCGAGCTGGGTAAGAATCCACTGTCAGGCAGCTAAAACTCCACTAGGAATACCACACTCTCTAAAAGAAGTTTGCGAATACAGCCAAAGACATCAGCTAGAGGAAAGCCCTGTGACTCGGTTTGACGTCCCACCGTTCCTCCGTTTGCTCTCGGCTATAGCTTTCATTCATTTGCTCAACTAACGTTACTCTCGCTAGCACTCTGACTCAGGCAGCACCTAAGGGAAGCTAAGATCTGCCATGACGATTGCGCTGCACACAAACCGTCCTCTGGCCTCTCAACACACCAGGGCCTCCAGCTTGGTAGTTTAGGGGCTCTACACAGCCAGGGATCTCCACTAGTCTCCTGCCCGCTCCCTAAAAAACGGGGTTGAGCTTCTCACTCACCGCTCCTCACTTCGTTCTTAGTACCCAAACAAGTCAATGAATGCGACCAGGATGAAGATAAAACTTCTACCCTTTCCAGCCTCTCCTGCTTAGCTGTTGCTAAAAACTCTGTTCTTCCCCCTCGGAGGGAGGTAGACAACAAAGAACGGGGGAGGGGAACGACTTGGAACTTCAGTCCCAAGTGCAAAGCAAAGTGCCCCCCAGGAGCCACTGCTGGTTCAGAGGACCCCCCGCCCCCTCCCCCGTCCTCCTCTAGTGTTTATACTCCCCTGAAAAACTCTTGAGTCCTAACCAGGACAGGAGTTACAATGGGAAGATGCTCAAGAAGGAATGAAGCTTTTAAGGTGAAAGACTGCCTGGGGCAGAAGCGAACGAGGTGCCTGGGAATGCCCTGATACTTTTTTTCTTCCCACAAGACCTAGCCTCGTCCCTCCTCTCTTTTTCTTTTTCCTTTTAAATTTTAACAACATAGTCTCCAAGACTGAGCAGAACAGGCAGGCGAGGACGCTAAGAAGACAGAAAAAGCAAGCTTCCCTCGAAAGGGTTACCTAACCTGGCACCGACCTGCGTTTTCCACCAAGTCACCTCCATTGCCAGGAATGCCAGAAGCCCGTGGCGGGACCAAAAGAAAGGAGGAGTTTCCCCGGGGGGAACATTCTAGGCCCGCCAAATTAAAAATGAGGGAGAAGGAGAAGGGAGAGACTCTAGCACCCAACTCGTGCCAGAGAGACTTGCCTGGGATGTTCTCTGTGCTCCTCCCCTACCCGCTGCCTGGGCAGTTCTTTCGGGGCTACTACCCCGGCGCTAGAACCAGGGAGAAGTTTCGCCGCTGCAAACGAGAGAAAAAGCAGCTCCGCAGGACACCGCCTCCACACGCCCCACCCCACAGCCCGACCCCTGGCGGTGGCGACCTTGGTCACCCAGGAGGAGCAGCGCTCGGAGGAGGGGCTGCCCTCGGGGTTTTCCTGGGAGCTTGAGAGGTCGCCAGCTTCGGGCTACCTCCGGTCGCCGTGCACCACCCGGACTGGCGCCACCAAGCCCGCGCGCCCCACTCCTCTCGGCCAGTGCCCCGGCCCTTGCGCCTCTCCACCCGACTCACCGCGCTGTGCGCAGCAAGGGTCGCATCAGGTCCCAGGGCTCTGCGCCTCGGGGCTGCGGCTCCCCGCCCGTCCCGCCGTTCTCTTCTCCCCCACCCTCTGCTGTCCTCCACGCCGTCTCGAATCTTTTTTCCGGGTTAATTACGTTTCGCATTAAAGCAAAACCCAGCCCCGGATGTGAGTACAATGCTCCGCGGGCCTCTGGGGGAGGAGAGGGGTGCGGGGACCGCTCGCGGGGACGGCAGAAGGGGTGGCAAGGGGGGGGGGGGTATGTGGCCCTGTCGCAGCAGGTGTCCGCGCTGGGGTGCAGGACAGGCACTTCCCGAGCCTACTCCGCAGGGCGCAACCCGCCCAGCCGGTGGTGGTCCCAGAGTGCGAGGGGGCGTTGGGTTTAGGGGTGGAGAGAAGAGCGCATAGCCCTGAGATCTTCAGTGCGCCGGGGAATCCCAGCGGGCTACGGGCTCTCTGACCCGGCTTGCCCGGCCCTTCTCGGAGTATGGAGCTCAGTGGGAAACAGAAGCCTGGATTCGATAGGTTCGGCCTAGGGTGACAGGACAGAACTCCTGCTCCCTCACCCTGCAGCCACACAGCAACCCATAGGTATCAGTCCCATGCCAGATGAGGAAACCGAGACTCCGAGATGTTAGGTAACATGCTCTGGGTCCCCAGTCAGTAGAGGGCAGGTCTGTCCGGTCTGACACAGGCCTTCCTCGTGGGGACATAGACATTTAAATATAAGTAAAGCCAGGCGGACAACATCTGAAACCTAAATATAGTGGATTCGCCCAGGGACTGGGCACGGAGGGATGCGGCTTCCGGGGGATGCTGATGTCAGCCCCACGGGTCCAAAGAGTCCTGGGAGGGAGCAGGGTGAAATTCGCTCCGGGAGGGTATGCAGGACCAGGCCTGGATTCGCGGGTCGGGGGGAAAGGCCAGCCCACATCAGAGCTGCAAAGAGCAAGGCAGCCGGTACCAAACCTGGGGGGCGAGGGCCACAGCCAGGTGAGCCGGCAGGAAGGCGGGACAGCCCGCAGCACACGCCCCGAAAGCTCCAGTGATGAAACCGCAGGCGCTTCCTCTTCTATTTTGATTGCCAAAGCGAAAATAAGCCGCCCAGTTCGCTCAGGTGTGAAAAAAGACGTTTGCTTTAGAACATTCTGCTCTGAATGAGGAAGGAAAAGACACAAGGTTGAGGGGGGAGCCATTTCCCTTGAAATAAACATCAACGTCAATTTTGCGCATTCGTAGAGGTCTGGTGTCCTGCACATGGGCTTCAGGCAGCCTTACCCTCAAACTGGGTAAATCCCAGCCGGCTCCCATCCCCTAGGCAGCTTGTGATCTGTGACTCGCTCGGTGCCTCAGTTTCTACGTCTGGGTTAGTGAGTCAATTCTTGCAAAGTGTTTCTTTCCAACACAAAGGTGCGTTGTGGTGTGTGTGTGTGTCTTTTCTTTTTATAACGAGATGGTCATTTTTACCGTAAAAGGCGCATAACTCTTTGGGGGTTGGGGGTGAATTCGTACTAGAAGTCATCAGCTTGGGTCGGATTTGCTGAATGAGTGCTGCTGCCCGAAAAAATCCCACAGGAACGATGGCTTAGCAGCAAAGCGTCAGATTTCATGGTATGGTTCCTATTAAAACCCATTAAACTGCTCCTGTGGGGCCCGCCTGACTCACCCATCACAGACCCACAGATATCTTCTGAGCGCCACTGTATTGACTGCCTGGGAGGGAGGAAACCGAAAGCCTCAGTTTCCTCCACAGACAAGGTGGGAACCTGTACCCTTCAAAATGGCGCGAGGAATCTACCTTCAATATTTTGGAGAGCCAGAAGAGCCTCTATGACAGGCAGGGATTCTCACTGGCTGAGCTTTGAGTGAGCCCAAGAAGCAGTTTAGGTTAGCTTTACTCTCCGAGGGAGGGCAAGACTGGGAACTGGCCCATTAGTGCTGCCTCTGTCCCTGGCAGGGGTTAGATACTTTCTGTGCTGAATCCAGTTCCATCATCCTGGGGTTTCCAGGCGTCTCAGATGGTCCCTTCTGCCTGCTCTAACAAGTACCACCGAACAAAACTAAACTCGCCAGAGTCCGTCTCTGTGTCTGTTTCTCATAAAATACATATACCGGGAATTACACCGTTGTAATCAATTTAAAGTGCACACGTGGCGACATTCAGTGGCATATTGCACACTTGTCACCACGGTACGGTTCCAGACACTTTTCATCATCTCTAAAGGTGACCTCAGCGCATCCTCTCCTCCCTTCTCCCAGCCTTGAGTAGTCACTAGTTTGCTTTCCATCAAGTCTACATCTATGGGACATTTCGCACGAGGGAAGTCATACGGCAGAGACTTTTGTATGCAGCTTCTCACATGCTTGGCCTTCCTTGACAAACTCATTTTGAAATCTTTCATAGTCTGACCTGATGCATTAACTTTGGCTCTCTGCAATAACCCACCAATGTGAGTCTTACCTATAGGGAAGGGGACATCAAAGACAATCTTTTACGTAAACTATTTTGGTACCCTCACTGGATCAGAACAACATAAATTTCCAAAATGTGTTTAAGGTTTTGCAGCTAGTTAGTGGTTTCAGGGCTTAACTTCTGCTAGATCTTCCAACAGAGAAACTTGCCCTGAAAATGGGGATATCTAGTCAGGACCTAAGAGTCAAAGCAGCCCCATGTCTAACAAGGCTATTTCATCATGTGCTTTGTATTTTCAAAGCTGGTGAACTGGGGAAGCTAATGACATCAAGTGGCGAGCCAGCCTTACCTCCAGGGAGCTGTATTAGTCTTTGCCCTCAGAGGTCCCTATTATTAAGGCTCTGAGCTGCAGCTGGGGCCACTTGATGAGACCAAAGTCAATTCACTTGGTCTTCTTCAAAACTGTTTTGCCCAGAGATAAAAGGCTCCCAGACCACACAGTGTACCTCCAAGATTCAGAGACCATTTGTCTAGGTAACTATCATTTTATTAGTAAGGTACCATAAAGTAATGGCACTGTACAATTCTAAGATTACTTAAACTATTATTATTCTGCTCAGGCTTCAAGCCAGTTATTTTGCTTCCTATATTCATTCTATTTTCTCCTTTTTAGGGATACGCTGTTAAATGCTTGATACATATCCCCCAGTTCAGGTCTTTCTTACAATGACACTGAGTGCCAGAAACCATTATTTTCCTATTTGGGATTGGAAAACTGGCTACTACAATACAAAGATGAAGCCTGGGTACGGAGCCCAGCAGCCTGATGCCAGCATCTGCCCTCCTTCCCCTGAGCTACACCGATTGGTGATGGACCTTATAAAGGCCTTAGGACAGAACCCAAGACTCCTCCCCTCAGTTCTAGTCATCATATTTCCATCTCATCTACAATAATATATTGAAGGGCATGTCCTAAAGGAAGTGATGGCATCATAAAGACAAAGATTTCCATATGCAGATGTGTCTACAGGCATATTCCCACTGCAGCATTGATCACCATGGGAAGAACTGGAAATCATTTAATGCCTAGGACACGTCAACACTGGTGCACGTGTACATTTGTTTTGTTTTGTTTTGTTTTTCGAGAAAGGGTTTCTCTGTAGCTTTGGAACCTGTCCTGGCACTAGCTCTTGCAGACCAGGCTGGCCTCGAACTCACAGAGATCCACCTGCCTCTGCCTCCTGAGTGCTGGGATTAAAGCCATGCGCCACCACCACCAAGCTAATTATTTCTATTCTATGTGTATGAGTACATTCCTATACTGTGCCCAGACCAAGAAAGAATACAGTTCGGTTGGTGATGTGGGATTCCCCTCTGTATGCTGTGAATGTGCTTTGTTACCATTGGTTAATAAAGAAGATGCATTGGGCCTATTGCAGTGCAGAATACAGCAAGGTGAGAATTTCAAGCAGAGATAGAGGGAAAAAGAAGGCGGAGTCAGAGAGATGCCATGTAGCTGCCGAAGGAGGCACTGGAACCTTACCAATAAACCACAAGTCTTGTGGTAAAATATATAATAATGGAAATGGGTTCATTTAAGATATAAGAGCTAGCTAACAATACGCCAAAGTGATCGGCCAAGCAGTATTTTAATTAATACAGCTTCTGTGTTATTATTTTGGGTCTGGGCAGCCAGGAATGAATGAGCAGCCTATGCCTACAGGTTGAGAGCATGATTCAGAGGTACAGCACCTACTAAGAAAGCACAGGAAGCCCCAGGGTTCAGCTCAGAGGAGCAAAGGAAGGGCTAGAGGGAGAGAAAGGAGAGAGGGAAGGGAAAAGAACAAATCCTATTTTAAAACATTACAAAGCTGTATATGCAATACAAAATATAAATGTGAATGATTTATTCCGAATTTTTAAAATAATTTATTTTTATTTTATGTGCATTGGTATTTTGCCTGCGTGTACGCCTGTGTGAGGGTGTCAGATCTTAAAGTTACAGACAGTTGCTCACTGCCATGTGGTTGCTGGAAATTGAACCTGGGTCCTCTGGAAGAGTAGTTAGTGCTCTTAACCACTGAACCATCTCTCCAGCTCTTATTCTGAATTATTAATCATGGTTCTCTTTGAGCAAAGCAGAGGGGCTATAAATGTGGATTTCACTTCTTAGATATATATTCTGCAGTGTTTTTAGGGTTGTGCGCATTCACCTGTGTGTTGGCACACATGCATGTGTGTATGTGTGTGTGTGCATGTGTGTGCGTGTGCACGTGCATACGTGTGCTTGTGTGTGGAAACCAGAGATTACACATCTCTTGATCATTCTCTATTTTTCATTTCCTTAGGCACCACCGTGTCTCACGGAATCCTGAGTGTGCTGATTCAGCTAGTCTAAATAAGAAGCTTGCCCAGGAATCCCTCATCTCTGCTCCCAAGTGGTGGTTCATTATTAGGCCACGGTGTCTACCCAGCTCTTCTGAGGGTCCTGGAGATCCAAACTCCAGTCCTCATGCTTAGGCAGCAAATGCTTGCCTTCACTGAGCCCATTCTCTAATGCATGCTTATTTTATTTTATTTTTGCAGAAATGCATGTGTGTATCTAGTTATCAAAAGGACAATAGTTAAGTTTTAATAAAAGTTGGGACTGGAGACGTGGCTCTGTGGTTAAGAGCACTGGCTATTTCCTGGGTTCAATTCTCAGCACTCACATGGTGGCTCACAAGTAACTGTCTGTTACCTCCAGTTCCAGGGGATCTGGCACCCTCACACAGACATCCAGGCAGGCAAAAGACTAATATGCATACATTTTACAAATAAATAAGTTTTAAAAGAGTTTAAAAGTTCTATGAGATGGAAAATCACATTGCAGTCCTCAGAGGCACCCCCTTGAGTAGGGAGAGACTAATAGGATGGGGAAGAAGTTAAGGTAACAGCCAGAGGCACACAGAGTAATGGGCCGAGGCATGCATGGTGGGGGAGGGATTTGAGGGGATGAAGAGCCAGGTATGGATGGGGATACTAAGGAAATAGGACCCTGAGAAGTCCTTGAAGGATGGCACGTACAAAGGTGATGAAAAGCTATTGAGAGAGAGAAGAGAATTTGGGATTGAAAATGATCAAACACAGGCTGAGAAGATAGCTCAGTTTGTGATGTGCTTGCAAGTATGAGGACCCAAGTTAGTAAAAGTGAACAGAACAGTATGTGCCTATGATCCCAGCCCTGGGGATTTGGAGACAGGAGGAGCCCTGAGGCTCTCTGGCTCACAGTCTACCTGAATCAGGAAACCCCATGTTCTATAAAAAATCCTTTAAGGGCAGTGGGGGAGGTGAAAACTGATTGACGAAGACACTTGACATCAGCCTGTGGCCACCACGTGCTCATATATTCATGAACACGCATGCACATATTAGTGTAATGCCCATACACACAGACAGAATGAGCAAAGACGAAAATATTGGTGCGCAGACTCCAGCGGGGAGTGCACTGAATGGTTCGAAGGAAACACAGGAGTTACCGTTTTGGAGGCTGTGAGAAAATGCCTACCGAAAGCACATGAAGGAAGCAAAGGAGAGAGGTTGGGAGGGAAGTCCTGGAAGCCAGAACTAGAGGCCTGTCATGCTGCACCCGCAGTCAAAGCGGAGGGGTGAATGTTTGCGCTCAGCTCACAGGCTCCTTTCTAGTCAGCCGGGGAACACACCCATGGAATGGTGCAGAGCCCATGGAATGGTGCCACTCAACGGGCCCAATCTAGACTGTCCTTCACCCACATGCCCAGACCTTTGTTTCCATGGTGACTCAAAAATCCCATCTTGTTGACAATGGTTGGTCATCACTCAGGTGCAAGGAGGAGTTTGGTGAGAACAGCCAGGAGACAGGGCACTACAGAGCCACACAGTGCTGAGCCAAGGCATAAACAAAAGCAACACACCTTCAAATAATATTCCCCAACAGGACACAATCAGAAAGAAACAGGAAACAACCCTATAGCTGGTGGTCATTTCATAACCAGTGTCAACATGCAAGGGTTTGACTCCCTGTCTGTGTTGTAGGAATTCCTACTGCCAGTAGCCTTTAAGTTACCTGCCCACTTGGCCGTGGCCTCTTATACTATAAATGCTGATGTAAAGAATACCACCGGCCTATCTTCTGGCTGCCGGATTCGGTTGCTGTTTTCCTGTTGGAGCAGAGAACTGTAATCTGTGAGTCTAACCCTAAATAAATAACCCTCTACTATACTCAATTCTGAGGTACTGTGGGATTTCTTTTAAGTGTCTGTCTTCATCTGGTGCCCAACCTGGGGCCCAAACCCACGACCCTGAGATTGAGTTTCGTGTTCTACCATCTCAGAAACAAGCTAAGAAGGGGAAAGGGGTCCAGAACCAGGCCAAGAAGGGAGAAGGGGCCTAGAACCAGGCCAAGAAGATAGGCAGAGCCCAGAACCAGGTCAAGAAGAGGAGATAAGGGGCCCAAAATCAGGGCAAAAAGGGGGATGGAAATCCCAACCAAAGCAAGAATGGGGAAGGGGCTCCCAACCAGAGCAGAAAGACTGATATACAGTTGCTAATCAGGGCACAAAGACAGAAGGTATCTCAGACCAAGGAAAAAAGGCAGAGGGGTCCTCCAATCAGGACAAAAAGGTAGACACAGCTGCCAATCAGGGTAAAAAGTCAGAGGTGGCTCCTGCCTAAAGTAAAATTGAAGGAATGGTCCAGAGTCAGGAGGCACCAAAGCAAGAGGCACCTACAAAGAAGAAGTCTGGTTCAAAGAGAAAAGGTGAGCCTGGAACCCCAGATTGCGACAGCCCTCTCTTCCTGCCCTAAGAGACACTCATCTCCATAGTTGGAAGTATGGTGTTCAATGAGCGTGAGGCCCAGCTTGTTGAGATCCTCTCTGAGAAGACTGGAGTTAGGACACCTGGCATAAGGCCACTCAAAAGGGTGACCCTGTAGCAATTCTGAAACGCCAGATACAAGACAAAGAAAAGCTGCTAGTCACAGAGCAAGAGGATGTAGCTGTCGCCAAGAGCAAACTAAGGGAACTCAACAAGGAGGTGGCTTCAGAGACAGCCATAGCTGCAGCTGGGGAGGCCAAGGTGAAGAAGCCGCTGGTAGCTCGGGAGCAGGAATCGCAGAGGTGCAGGCAAGAATGCAGGCCAGCTACCAGGACCATGGGAAGGAGGTACAGCAGCTGCAGAGCCAGACCCGGACTCTTCAGGAGCAGCTGGAGAATGGCCCGACATGTCTGTCATTAACTACAGGAACAGCCAAGAAGCCCATTACTTTCCTTCCCTGGGTCTCTACAGAGGAGCCGCTGCCCATCTCCTACCACAGATAGGCTCGCGCTGTAGTGGGTGGGGCCTGTGTGAGCAGTAAGTACTTACCCAGCATGCTCCAGTCCCCGAGTTCCATCCTCCCAGGCCCACAAAACTAAATGAAAATAAGTGTTGTGACTTTGCATTAAAATCTTTTTATTTCATTCTGAATTTTTTTTTCTACAAAGAGCCAGCTGTTTGCAAACACTCAGGAGTTAATCGACTGTTAGTCTCATTTGACAGATGGAAGACTATGGGTTGTTGTTTTTACATTCTTCAAAAGAAATTTTATTCGTCTGGGCATATGTTTCGCTTCTCATTTTACAGTTGTTCACACATTATGTGTCCGTCTTCCTAAAGATGAACTTGTATGTAGGCTCAATTCTTGTGTATATATTTGCTCTTTAAATTGTTCTTCGTGTTCTATGCTTTGAGCATATGCCTTCCCCTCCCCGAACTCTTCCAAACTTCCATATCCCAACCACCCAGCACCAAGTTCTTTCTCCCTCTTCCTCTCTCGAGTGAAAAGCAAAAGCTGGAATAAAAAACAATAACAATAACAAAAAAAGCACGTGCTGAATAATAAAACCATGGAGTGTGTTTTGTGTTGCCCAAGTCCTCCTGCCCCAGAGCGGTGGATGCACCCAATGTCATTTTATTGAAGAAAACTGAGATTCCTCTTTTTAGCAGGTATCGACTGCCAATCCCTTCTCAGGAAGGGGTCAGACTTCGTGTCCGCTTCCCCTTCTCCACGCTGGGATTTTGTCTGCTGAGAATGTGGTTTGGATCTCAGCCTCACCCAACCAGTCACGATCTGAGCCCTCAGTTCTGAATCACAGGTCAGCAGCCCCAGCTCAAAGTCCAGGACTATCTCTTAGCTCAGATCCCCAGGGACTTGAGAGTACGGGGGAAAAAAAAAATGGGAAATGGAAGAAACATCGGAAATTTCTGTTTATAACACAAGGGAAGCCACAGTAAGGAACAGGGATAAAGCCAGATGCAGGAAGATAAAACTTTTGTGAACTCCTGGAAGTTTATGCATAATATCAAATGTAAAATGTAAACAGGAGATGTGTCTATATACACAGCCACATACATGCACAGATACACACACATACATCAAAATCATCTCCTAGTAACAAAGTCTGGAAGGCACGGCTATACTGGTAAACCTGACTCAAGTCAGAATCTAAAGCGGAGTGTGCATTCTGTTCCCAGAAATAAACCAGTCATTCCTATTGATTCCTGCCTGTGGCATGGCCTTGCAGACAGCTTGGTGCCTGCCGCGTGACGCAAGGATCCCATGTGACCCAGATGGCGCTTCAGGAAGGAGCCAGGCCTCTTCTTTCAGATCCACGACCATGGTTTAGCACTGTGTTTGACTTTACTCTTCAGACTCGGTTATATTTCACATCCTCAGTTGTAGTGTTATTTTATTTGTATTTTTGATAAATGAAGCTTGCCTAAGGATCAGAGTTCAAAGCTAAGCCCCTAGAGGCCTGGGAGTGGGGGCACACTCTCCCAGACAGAGGCTGACAGATCGCTGTAAATTCAAGGCTAGCCTGGGCTACCCAATCAATCCAGAAACAGATTCAGGTGGTAGTGGCTCACACCTTTAATCTCAGTGTTTGGGAGTCACACGCCTTTAATCCCAGCACTTGGGAGGTGGAGACAGGAGCTCACTGGAGTGTGGAGTCTGAGGCTTCATGGAGACAGGAGATTGCCCATTCAGTCTGAGCACTGGTAGAGGTAAAAGGTCTCTCTGATGGTTTTCTGTTCTGCTTCTCTGATCTTCAGCTTTAACCCCTTTATCTTTGGCTTGTTCTACGTGCAGTACTGAGATCACGAGGGGAAGGGCGGTTCTAAGTGAATCCATGTGGATAACGCAGTCTGCACCATTAGTGAGAATGAACTTGGGCCGACGTCTGCACCATTAGTGAGAATGAACTTGGGCCGACTTATCCTAGGAGATGCCAGGTCATCCACCAGGCAGCTGACTGACAATCAACAATTGTCAACACAACATAGTAAGAACATTTGCGTATGGGGATATTTACCCTTACATTGTTTAAAGACGAAAGCAGCTTTTCTACACCCCAAAGAAATTCATGTGGCATTTTATTCTTGTTATGAGGTGCTAAGAGGTGGTACCAAATGGATCTTTTAAGATCTGACTGGAGGCGGGGGGCAGCAAGGTGGTTCAGCCAGTAAAGACACTAACTAACTACTGAGCCTCATAACACAGGATTGAGACCAAGATCCCATGATGGAAAGAGAGAACCAATTCCCGCAAGATGTCCTCAGACTTCCCCATCCACACCATGGTATGTGTGTGCT